CTTAAAAAGAGGGACCACGCCCCGGGTCTGCCAGTCCAGAGGCACTGTCCCCAACCGCGACAGTGACACCTGGAGAAACGGCTACAGAGATGTTAAAATGCTGGTTACAAATTGCCTGCAAAGCCAGTTACTCTTGCACCTAAATATAATCCACAATACCACCAGTTAATCTAATTAAAATGAAATTTAGCTAGCTTACATAGTGCTAATAACAGTGTATTGTTGATTTTACCAACAAAATGATATCTGCAAACATTGACCTTGAGCTGACCTCCAATATGGCTGCACAAAAGTGTGTTTTTTCAGTCTGACGAGCAGAGAGATCATTGTAGCAGAATTAGGGTTTATTCTCTCTTAACACTTGATCTCCTGACAAGCACCTGTCACCTTTCAGCTGCATCCCTCGCTGGAAGCAATCTATTACAGAAGGCTTCCAGGGACGGCAAGCCAGCCGGGCCTGTCCTCCTTCCCTGATTCTGCTTCTTTTTATTACTCTGTCATCAGAAAGGCCTTGATAGGTAGGAAAGGGGCACATTGCTGCTTAACACTGACAGAAAATGTCTGCCTAGGATGTCACAGCTATGTGACCATCCACATACCTGCCACTGTTGGTATGAACATGGTTTGTGCCCTCAGGAGTCCGCTAGCCCAAATGGAGGAGGAGCGACGGGAGCACGAGGCCAAGATGAAAAAGATGGAACAAGAAATGGAGCAAGTGTTTGAGATGAAGGTGAAAGAAAAGCTCCAAAAGCTCAGAGACTCTGAGGCTGAGGTAAACTAATGAGCCTGCTTTTTAGTGTTCATTATTGTGTTCCTTTGTACAGTCTCTGCAGACCTAGTGCCTGTACTTTGTTGTCCCCGCAGCTCCAGAGGCGTCATGAGCAAATGAAAAAGAACCTCGAGGCCCAGCACAAAGAATTGGAAGAGAAGCGCCGCCAGCACGAGGAGGAAAAGGCCAGCTGGGAGGCCCAGCAGAGGATTCTGGAACAGCAGAAACTAGATGCCTCCAGGTAAACACACCATCACACATGACCAGTTATGGTTTGTAGAGCTGAAGAGAAGAGTGCAATATAACTGTAGACTGAAGATTTTACCTACATGTAAGCTTAATTTGAAACTTAAGTCTGAACCCTGCTTACTATAAACTTGAGGTAACTGTGGTTTCAGAACCAGAAAACGCCCAAATTTTGACAGTAAAAGTGTTACGTTACGCTGTGTGTACATGATAAATCAGTATGTTATCAATTTAAATTTCTACTAGCAAGCAAAGCAGGGCTCTATTAGAATAGGGAGTAGTAAAATAGGTACTTAGAGCAGTGATCCACCTGAAAGGCGAATAACTAAATATCTCTTCCCACAATATTTGTTTTTTATTCATGAATTGGTAATGAATTTCTTGGCATAAAGATGTTGCCACACTGGTCACTTGGTTGCTCACCATTAGATGGGTGAACGGTTAGATACCTGACTTAATTAATGAAACTACCTAACTATCTGTGTTTATCCCCAAGTGAAATACTGCTGTCACAGCAGCTTCACAAGGATATTTTACAAAAAGCTTGAAATGAAGAAATCTAGGAATCATTAAATCCGCACTTTGTCGCTTTAGTTATTAGAGGCACACCTTCAGTGTTTTACATGCAGGAAGAACAGCCCAACTATATATAAGCTTTAGTCGTGTTGAATTTATGAAAAGGCATCAGTAAATAAGAGTTTTTACTGCAGCTTTTTACAAAATATATCCAGCTTCCCAACTCGACAAATCCAAAAATGTGTGTGCTTTTTGAATTGATTCAGGTAGAGGTGTAACAGTGCAACTACCTAAAGCACAGAGATTTGGTCGCCTGTCTTTCATCTGCGAGCAGGTCCACAGGCCAAAGTTAGTTCAGTGCACTTTCACAAGTACAGACAACAACATATCATGACACAGATGAGGGATCACATTTTGTGGACAGTCGACTGAAACACAGTCAGACACTGTATATAATACATTTGTGTACCGTATATGGACGAGGCTACTCGAGCTGTAGCAGCACCACATTTACAGTGTGTCATCAGAATGGTATTAAGACCGACAGCAACAGGGGAAATACTGGCAGCAGTTTATTGCTGTTCTGGAGCTGTACAAAGTGAAATGGGCAAAAGTAAAACTGTTTCTCATTTGATTGACATCAACTTTGGAGATGTGGCCATCTTGTTTAATAGAACTGTCAATGAGCACACCCGCTCGGGGTTCTGTTTAAGCTTCCAGTGTGAGCACTCATGTCATGCCTGACTGTGTGAGCAGTGAAGTCGTGGATTCTGGCCATGCTGGATGGCCAAATAAAACGTATAGTGTGTTAACTCACACTAAACGATCATGTATGATCAGTAAGAAGCACACAGTGTCTGCCTAGCCTAAGAAGAAATCAGTAACTGACACTAGTTTTCATTCTCACTGGGTGTTATCATGAGTGTATTGGACTGTAAGCCATTTAGTGTTTTGAACAGAATTGCGAACTGGTTGTGTACTGATCAAATACACCTAAAAACTGGTCATCATGAATATTCAGATGCAGAGTCGTACCACAGTGAAAGTCAAAGGTTGGAAGCACAGCTATGGGCGAGACAGGAGAGGGAGATGAGGCCTCTGAAGGCAATGATGAGGAGAAGACAGATTTGAATGTCACATTGTCACCCAACCTGTTTTAATCAGGGTGAGGGAGTGAGGAGCAAGTGAATTGCATCAATACACTGAACCCCATCAGACCAACCAGACTGGGTTCAGGATGAAGGCAGCCAAATTCCTGAGTGCATGACTACTCTTCTCTCCTCTTGTTTTAACAGGACCTTGGAAAAGAACAAGAAGAAAAAGATATTTTAATAACTCTGGAGGACCTTCCTGATGTTACAGTGTATTATGTTTTTTGCCAAGTTGCCAGCCTTGATTGTAAGGACACCTGTTGGTTAACTACATCCACCTTTTGACCATATAATAATCAAATGAAAGCCAGGGGGCAGTATTGTCTGGATTCTGAATTTAACCAATCACTCTCTTCTCATCCCCATGTTCCTACTTGAAGAAAAGTTATTTCTGATTTGATTCAGGATACAGTTCAAATACAGAAACACAGCTGCTGTTCCGTTCAGTCATTAATTCATTTGCCTCATTTAATTTCGTCCTGAGATGTAATGCCCCTCCCTTTCCTGTAATGTAAGTTGTATAACTACAGACTGAAATGTTTACCTTCAGATTTCTCACTGTACATTGTACATTTCTTTTATATTTCTATACCAGGGCCAATAATATTTCCAGTATTACAGCTAGTTTCCTTTTTTTTTTTTTTTTTATCCCTGCTCTTGGAAACCAAACGTGTATTCCTGACTTCACTCACGCCAGAGTGTAACAAAGTAAAGAAACTGCTCATGAAGTGATTCTTCATGAACTTCTGTCAATGTCTTATGCAGATTTTACATAAAATGATTTCCAAAAGAACCAAGTCATTCCAGGGGCAGGATGGGGAAGTCTGTGTTAGATGCTGGTGGATGGTAAAGCTGAAGCTGTGATTCTTCAGTCCGACAGATGTCAACCTAATTGTACCAAGCTGGCTTTCTTTAATGATATTTAGCACTGTTTGTGTATTGCATCTTTATTTTGTAATGTCTTGTTTTTACTGTACAAAGTCACATAATAAAATTGTGATGGGGGGAAAAACTGGTGTTCTTGGTGATGCATTTAGAACTTTTACACATTATAGCAAAAATGTACATGTTGTGCACCTAAATATGTCACCACATTGTTTTCAGTTAATTTATCATTTCATAATTGGCAATTGAATGTACGTTTTATTTTGGGTGCCACATTTATATTTTTAGAACATTATGATGTTTTGTGCCTGCTGTCCTGGATTTGGTGGTTGGAGAACAGAAAAGGGTAAAGCGGAACCTTGGTGCGCTTGGTGTTGCATCCAGAATGGTTTGGGGAGGGACCTTCCGCCCCCCTTCCCCGGGTACAGTCTGGATGCGAATGCCAGCATAACGTGAGAGTTCTGTTCATATGTCACGTTGTGTTTTCCAGGTTAGTAGACGGTGAAACTATCCATACAAAGCAGTATGATGTTAGTATTTAATAATTTGTTAGTATAGCACTGTTCGGTGTATATTTACATGCTCGTCGGTAATGGTTTAGTCAGTCAAGGCTCAAAGTAACGCGGAGGTTTCCCGCGGGTAGGAAGTATCGCGAGATCTTCCAAAGTCCGGTTTTATGAACCTTATTCAGTTTTATTATCACTAATATGCATTGTATATTGTTATTAGGAGTTAAGTGGAGTAAGAATGTTTAAACCGAGGTCAATGTAAATGCATGAGAGATAGTTATATATTCAGTTTGAAGTAATGTAAATGTATTTTTGTTCAAAGATAGTGTAGTATTTTTAGTGTGCAGTCATTAGTTATTTGGTAACCAATTACAGTTAAGCATGGAACAGTGGAGCAACTGTTTATTCACCAACAAAGTGGTGTCGAGACATGTCACTCAGGTGTTTAAGTGATTATATTGAGAACTTGAGTTAAGGAAATATGGGATAAAAATGCACCTTATTCGTACACTGTTACAATGTTTGAATGTTAATGTTTGAATAAACCAGATGCAGTCTGGATGCGAATGCCAGCACACCGTGAGAGTTCTGTTCTGATGTCACATTGTGTTTTCCAGGCTGCACTAATTCACTGCTACGCAGCCCCGGCACTTGGGGCCCGTAACATACAGTCTACTCTCCATGGCACACCTCATTCCAAATTCAAGGCCATTACTGTGTTACTGTAACAGCCTCCACTCTAGTGGTTTCACCCTTTCCACCAAGGGTGTGGGAATCTCACTACATGGATTTTCTGAGTATTAGCTCAGTGTTCCACTTCACCCCAAAGGTGTTCAATGGGGCTGAGGTCAGGGTTCTGTGCAGGACAGTTGAGTGCTTCCACACCAAAAATGGGAAACCTGTTTGGGTCGAAACAGAAAAAGACCTCAAACTGTCACAACGTTTGAAGCACACAGTCTATCAGACTTAAACAGTTTGCTGAGTGTTTCTCACTGCCAGTTAAACATTCTAAATTCACACTTCAATGTGTATCTAAAACTGTATTGTTTAATTTACTGTTGAAGATTTTGTTGATTTATTGTGTAGCCATTGTCAAACCTATAGCTGTAAGATCTATAGAGATAAATACATAGTACCTTCTGTATGAACTTAGTCTGAAATACTGGGATACAGCACTAGAAAAATAGCCCAGGCCAAAAGTATGTGGACTGATCCATATTCTATTAGACATACCATGTAGTAAATTTAGATGAGATGGAGTAAATGGTATATACTAAAGGCTTCCTAGAAGCTTTCAAGAAACAGGAAATGCAACTGAGAGAAAGGCCAAAGTACTGTGTGAATTGATCTTTTATCGTAACATTCAACTTTGAAGGTACTTTATACCAGGGATTCATAGTGATGTTTGGTTCCAGAAGGTAGTGATACAGGACTGCACTACACTGCCTCCTACTCACCGGTTCAGGGTCTGTCCATGCCCTTGATGAAGCTTGTTAGTGGCTCTCAACTGAACTCTGACCCAGGTGTTTTTGTATTGGTGTACTGGCAAACCCTAGTTGTGCTGAGCTGACAACTCACCATTGGCTTGTGCTGTCATAGCCTTTCACCTAATGAAATGTTCTTCCTTTGTAACTTCCTCTAAGCAGGTTAAATTAGAGCCTTTATCAGGAACATAGTGCACCTCGGCCTGAAAATCAGTGAGGTAATATCTGCCCACTTGGCAAGTCTGGAGCTCTTAGTGTACATGTTTTTTTTAATTGTTCTATAATGGTTTTAATTCCATGGGAACTAAAAGTGAGGGAATAGTTTTTCATAATTAGATTTTAAGACCTCTGTCTGTTCTTGATGACGTTCCAGCAATCATTCCAGAGGTCCTATTGGTTTTTATACAAGATTGTAGTGGTCTTTGGGGGAGGTCATGGGCCTGCCAATGAGTTCCAGTAGTATTAAGAGCATTACAAAGGGTAACAGGACATTCTTGAGGGAGCTCCTTGAGTTTGAGGGGCTTTTCACTGAACTCTGAAGGTTCTCAAGTGATTCTGTGTTCTTAAGGGTTACCAGGGATTCATTAGCCACTGACGGGATTCCAAGAATCCTAAGTGTAAGAGGTTCTTTTAGGATCTGGAGCCATGAAAGTATTCCATGTACATATAAGGAGTATTACAAATAAAGTATCAGACTTTCCATTCTCTTCGCATTCATTTTTCTGTGAATACATTCTCATTGCTAACCATCTTTTGATAGCCAGCTTAAAGGCTATACGTGGCATCAGGGATAAAACTAAAATATCACCACAGTGTCAACTTACCAAAACATCTGCAAAATGTAATTTAAAAAGTGACTGAGTTTTGCTCATAAGTAATAGCTGTCAGCATCTTGTCAAAAGATTAGTTTTAAAAACTTTAGCCAGTATGTTATTTTTTTATGGTTTGGACAAAGTTTAACTACATTGACCATTCTGGGACCCTTCCTTCTGAAACCTATTTCACAGGAATTCTGATCCAGGTTTACTCCTGGTCTGTTGCTGTCTTTAGCAAACATTGTAACAAGAGATGAATTGCGAACCATTTAGGGTGCTTATTAAATTAAAGTGTTGCATTTGAATCAGATCAAATTGAAAATAGTCTTATAAATTAACCTGTAACATTTCCATGTCAGTGTTTATTGACATTTAACACCTGAAACATGATTAATCAACCCTTGTGCTGGGTTGTTTTTATTTTTATTATGGCACATAAAATGCTTTCATGTGTTACGTTATGCGTCTGTGCAATTATTGTATC